AGCGCTTCTCACCTTGCGATGCTTTAAGTGCAACGCCAAGGACGTGATATAGGCCGTTTCGAAGAACGTATAATCCCGTGAAATATTGCAATATTGTGTTTAGAAATACGCTCTCTGCGAACCGTGTACCGAGTGCGCGACAACATATGTGACGTATCTCAGAAATACAATTTTCCGGAGTACTTCGAAGTGCATTTTGATTGTATACGCGACCAAAGTAAAGCCGAAAGAGAGATATTCTTGGGGAAAACTGGGGGCAAAATTCCCCGAATAAAAGAATCCTTGGTTGCTACAAAAATATGCTATTTATTTTAATCGAACTATAAATCTATATATGTCACGGCCGCAGCTCGCTGGCATTGGTTCACGCTCTATAAACAATGCCATTGCTTTAGGCGATTAGCTAAATGAATTTACGAAAATATAATACTTCGCTATATTTTCTCGCTCTCGTTTTCTAAAGTAACAATCCGTATTTTTTCAGAAATTACATTATATCAGTTAAACAAACATCACATTTTCTTTTTTTACAGACGCTAAATATATCATACACATCTCTAATCTCTTTAAGGATGTTTTGTATGTCCAATCTCAGCAAAAAGTAGCTGAAAATCAATATTGACGAATATCCATTTTTAAGTGTATTTTGAGTATGAGAAATTGTGTGGAATATTACAATTTTTTTTTCTTAGCTACAGTGCAGAGATGTATTTTTTAATATTTATTGCGTTTTTACTGAAATATTCCAAATTTTGTTAATCGAACTGATAAACTTTTGGCAGAGAATTTCGCCTTGTGACAGATACATGGTTAACTTTATTGAATTATATTTAATATCTTTTTAACCAGTACTTGTATAATTATTTGACCAAATATTTCCTCTGTATCTAAACTTTTGCAAATTTTCAACAAATTCTGAATATTATTTCCATGTGTTTTTGTCATTTGAATCGACGTGGTTATACGTTTCTCATAAGAATACATGTTAATTCGATGCAAATTAAAATCCTTATAACTTGTGAACGCTTTAGTGAATCGATTTAAAAATTGTACTGAAGATTCTAAATATATGTCAGGACATTCTGTACACTTCTCATTAAATTCTCAATATTTTGAAAATCGGTACAAAACATCCTTAAAAAGATTTGCTTAAAATTTGAAAGTACCTTGATTGTTATTCAGGGAAATGTAAGAGAAACACTGACTATCTCGCAAAGTTTCCAGCTAACTTTAATGGAAAAATGTTTCCGCGTTAGCAGTCAATTTACATTCCCGTGCACTTGATGCGCGCCGGAAGTCGAGTCGCGTGACGCGGAAGTCGCATCAGTCACCCGGGCGTGCATCGTGCTCTAGTTTTTTCACGCTCGCGTGGTCATGACGCGTGGGGGTTTTCGTCGTAACCGAAATTCCTCACACGTAATGCCACATAACGGAAATGTTGCCAAGGGCGAGCGGCATGATTCTATTCATAGACGCACCGTTCGTTGTGTCAAAGTTCCAGATGCATCAGCCGAGATGCATTCCGCTCGAGCTCTCCCGCAAGTAAGAGCGATGCGAGTGCGTGCACTTGGCACACGTTCACGAGAGTGTGACGGATTGTGTGCGTGTATCGTCTGAACTTGAATGCGTCTCGTGTTATACGCGCACTTGACACGAGAGAAGTTCCCCTGAACTTTGGATCGCGAAGTAATAACCGATCAGACATCTAGTTATCGTCGCCACAAAATTGCAATGACTAGGTTTTTTCCCTGTATTGTTTACTCGATGTTTGCCATATAATTTCTCGTGATTGTAAATTATACCTTGAAATTTGTTAGCTATTTCCTTAGCTATTTCAACGTAAAAGATAATAATAACGCGCAAAATATTGATCATTCGAAGATACGAGGCTATAGATTAGGCGCCGAAGTAGCTTGCAGTAATAATAGTAGATGGAAGGTCGTCGCATGGTATGCCATCAAGTAAGGCAGAGATCTTTCGACGGAGCCATTGATCTATTTTCATCCGTGTTCACGAATCTACGAGTTTCTAGTTCCCAACCAGTCCCACGTAAGCTTCGAGGCTCGTCGGACAGCGTTCGTGCTCGGCTTCGACTTTGCGGTGAACGAAGACGCATCGATTCCACTGATGGATCGTGTGTCTTGTTCGTTTTGACTTACGCGGCAACGACGACCAGACACAGTCGGGAACTAATTGCGAAATTTCTTGCGGCTTGAGTCAACCTTCGAAATTGCGCGAGTTTAAAGCCGCGACTCATCGCGGTGACACGCTAATCACTCATGGGCCGTATCGTTCATCTTAAATGGCGAAGTAAGTATAAGCAGAGTCACGCGCGAAATTTGTTGCACCGTTTAATCGTAGCCCGGCGATCTAAATTGCGCGAACGTGGAAAGAATATATAAATAATATTAAAGTAGTAATTAAAATTGTAATCTACAAGAATTACAAGTGGTTGCGTGATAATCGCAAGAACGCGACAAAGCTGTCAAAGAGCGATAATGTCATTATTCTTTTGTCGCGATTCAAGAAATTGATGTGACGCATAATTTAAAACATTGAATTTTTCTCAACAAATCTAAAATGCTGTTTTATAATAATTAAATAATTATACCGCCGCTTCTCGGAATATTAAATAGTTGAAATGAAGTTTTGACAGTTTTAGACTAAAACTACTATTGAACTACATTTGCTTTTATAATGCTCTATATATTGTTGACATTATTAGCAGAGTGTCGAAAGAACTGACGCCTACTTGTCGTGCCTCCGAAATTCCATTGGCGTATTTCCAAAACGTTGGCGAAGTTTCCGGGACGTGTAAAATCCATCAAATGCGGAATCGACTCTTATCGCGCGCATTAAACAGACAGAGCGTATTCTTTCGTCCAGCCAAGATGAGCAATTCTTCGTCTATCCTTCTACAATTTTGTGTGCGTTTGTCCTCTTCCTTCTTTTACACACAATATTCATGACTTACAATCGCGCCTTAATATCGAGAACCTATAGTAATTCATCGCCGCGCGCTCTGACATCCAGTTATTTACGTCGAGCCTTTCTGATGTAAAAGAGCCGCTAAACATAGAGAAGGCGCGCGTATTTTTGCAGGAATATCGATTGCGCTACTTTAACTTTGTACGAAGCGAGGGCGATTGACTTGCCGTCAATTGTAGACGCATCAATATCGTTTGATCCTGAATTCCATTAGCGTAGGAGACCGATCCCTAAAACGCAATTTCTACGAATCGACCATATCTTTCCGCTTCTAATTGCGCGCACTATTTCACTATATCGATTTGATTATATGCATATTTGAAATTTCGCTTTCGTCATCAAACAGAATTTTGTTCAACTGTACTTTTTGATTACGAACGCTTTCAATCTACAAATTTGTCATCCGTTATATCACATCGGCAGTCAAAAATGCATATTCTCCCAATATTGCATTTTGTTTCCGACAATCAATAACATTTATCTGTTATTAAATTTTATTTAAGTTTGAAGCATTGCATCTTGAAAATCAAATTGCTTTGTATAAGAAAAAAATATATGTAATATTTTTATGGAAGGGAAGAATAAAAATATCTATTATAAGTTATAGGTTTCAGTAATAAACTTTGCGTGATAAAAAATTTAACAAGAAAAGTTGGAGCTACTTTATCTTCTCATTTGACATTTATGCTCGCAAATTTTATAATTAATGAAAAATTAATTGTCACGATAATTAAAGGAAATTTTATAAAATGCTCTCCAAAATTAATAAATCTTCAAGTTTTCCAACAATCAATTAATCATATGTAATAAATACAATACATGGATTGGTCGATATCTTTAACCGATAATAATTTTTAATTATTTGACAAGTCAGTATAAAAAAGACAATATTATATGTATGCATATTTATGGATGAAAAATGTTAAGTAAATCGTTAATATCGAAATAATCGAGTACCGTTTGATCCACGATGAAATCGAACCGAAATAGATTCCGCCCACAGCGTTTTGAAAAATCGGATTGATGATTTATCGATATATATTGCCGGTACAAAGCGAATTTTTGAGAAACTTGCACTACCTTTAATCGCTACTGTCGAATCGGAAATGTGTCAAGTTCTTGAAATTCGCGAAACGAACGGAATAACGTAAAACCCCGGTTGTGCGGTCGACAGTCGATAACGGGCTGCGCGCGCGAGGAGCTTTTTGTTCCACTCACGCGTCCTGTCCAAGCCCGGCTTGAAAATCGACGTTCTTTTTGTGACGGATGTCACGATGGCATCGTGGCGCATATGTCGAACTTTCGCAATGGTGGACGGATTTTCGACGACAAGCAATCAGCGGAACGACCGTTTCCGGACGAGGGCGCAAACGTAATTTGGAGGCACCCTTTCGTGCTCGAACGCGCTCGACATATCGTAACCCGATTCTTTTCTCGTGATTATATGCAAACACTATTCGATGATGAAATAATGCCGATTACACTGTTAATTTAACAGATTTGCAACTCATTATACGACATATATAATGAGTTAATAATAATAAAGGAATAATAAGAAACGAAAAAAAATATGTGTAAACAATGATTTAATTTTATTGTAATTTTTGTCACTACAACTTTTAATTAATTCTTTCCCTTATAAGATATATGACAAAATTTATTTTTAAATATTATTTAAAGTCACACGAACAATTATATATATACACACTCGAGTTAGAGGAAGCGAAAAAATCCGATAAATCAGCACGGCAGATAAATCGATCGAGAAACATCGCGGAAGCAAGCCGGAAAAATAATCAGAGGAGAGCGTAATTATCCGTATTTATTCGCGTGCGAATTGCGAGGTCAAACTTTTCTCTGAGCGAGCGCATCGTCCGCGTGACTCTCGAAAAATTCACGGGGAAAGGAGGCGACAAGTCGGATCAGCTGTTAAGCCAAGCCCGTCTATTTGCGACGCATACTTCTCTCTCGTCACGGTTCTGACCGGTGTCGAATTTTTTTTTCTGTTGCAGAGCCGAAGAAGGAAAAGACTGAACAGAGTGCGAATGGCGCGATATCGCCGAGCGGCGGCGGCGGTGCCGGCGATTCGTCGGCCGCAAATCTGGGCCCTACCGGTCCGGGGGCGCCGCCGGTCTCGGGTCCGGTCTCGGATTCCGGGGACCAGCAAAAGCCGAACAGGCCGAACACCCTTGACGCCAGGGTGGTAGCCAGGAGGCTGATCTTGTTCGACAGTGAGTACACACTCGCGTGCCGATCCGCGTGTGCGTCCGTTAGTCTCGCGTATCGATCGATCGACATTGTCGTCGTCGTCGTTGTCGTCGTCGTCGTCGTCGTCGTCGTCGTCGTCGTCGTCGTCGTCGTCGTCGTTGTCGTCGTCGTCGTCGCTCAGAGAAAAGTTCGACGAAATGGATGGTATCGGCGAAGGCGTACGTCACGCGAGCGTATCGATTTTACAACGAAGGGTGAAATAATGGGATTGGCTCAAGTATCGGTGGGCTTGATGGGTGGGAAGCAAGAAGGGTAGCGAGAATAACTTTGCCGCTTAAAGGGCCTAATGCAGTTTTCCTATAAGCTAATAACATGTGAAAATATGTTTCCTGCAAAACTTTTTCACATTAATAATTAAGGTAACATTAAACATTATACATTTTACTTATTATTACACTCTCGTGAAACAATCAACTGTGTTTATAAATACTCGATTTGACATTTATATTTACCGAAGTTATATTTTTGCTTTCCGTATTCGTATGATATGAATTTGCTTAGTCCATAATTATTCGAAAAACTTTTTTCTTATGGTCGCGTATAAAAAGTTCACGAATAGATTAGCCGGTATAAACTTGGGTTTATATTTGTTATCGCTGTGCAGTTTATGAAAACTTTCGAGTAAGAGTTTTTCTCTCCAGCCTGAGGATCAGTTAGAAGCAATAATAGTATCCTTTTATGCAATAAGTCCTGGCCGACGAAGAGCGATGAGTCCTCGCGAATTCATGCCGCATGAATGCAATTATCATCGAGTGTATCGCACAAAGTTTCGTTATTGGATTTAGTTGTCCCTTTGACGAAGCTCGGTATTATTTATCTCTGACAACGTCTACAATTTAATAACATTTATTAGAGGCCGAGAGATCGATAAAATACAGATGTGTTGAAATGTATACTCGCCATATCTACCTCTTCATGTAAAAATATCTTTAGCTATTATACACAATAAAGCACATTAAAATGTAAATATAAAATTTTTCAACGTTATTATATTTTATTTTTGTATTATACTCTAATGAATGGCATGAATTGGAATCTAGATATTAAAATTTCGATTAGTGAATATCGAATATACAATTATAATGTATAATTTAATTAATATAACATGCATCACAACACACAATTTCAGGAGAAAATCAATATGATACTTAAATTATCGTTTAAGTAATATCTTTTAAGCGATTTTTTTTTCTGAAAGAGAATTTTTCTACATTTTTCTAAAAAGAAGGAAAAGGAAGGGAATTTTTTCTCGAAGTAAACTGTCGAGAGAAAGTTCTGTGAGAAATCGAGAACATTTATATCAACATCCTGCTAATAATACTGGGTAAACTATTCAAGACATATATTTATTCAAATAAGTTTAAAATTTTAATCACTCTCTGATACTTTGCGCAACGTGAATTTATACGCTAGGACATTTGATATATCGCTCCGAAAATTTTCTCTATAAATTTCGAACAAGCTGAAATCAAATATGTTCAAATATGCGCTCGTGATCAAGCGCGACCGGACGGTCTCTGGAGGGAATGCGCGGTAGCCAAAGTATCTCGTTGGTAACCGCCTGGAACTTCGTCCTTTTGTACGTCAGAATTTAGGTGCGCGACGTTATCAAATGGCCGGCAGCGCCCTGCATCCAGCAAGTTATTTAACATTCCAGCCGATGCCGGTCGACGAGCCGTTTTTCACCAAAAAAAAAAAATTACTGCTCTTTATCTTATCGAGAAAAAAAATTAAATTTCCGAGAGAAGATTAATTGAAAAAAAATAAAATAAAATAAAACAGGCCGCGAATTATAAAAGCTGATGGAAGCAACGCCAAATTAAAAATTTCGTCCGGTATATCCCGCGCGGATTTAATAATAAACAAATTCGGGGAACAGCCGCGAATGATGTTTCGCAAGTTGCCACCTCGCAACTGCAACGGCCGCGGCACTCATCCGTTTGCCAAGATATTGTTGTTTCTGCATTGCGATGAATCATGTTCCTCGAAACAACTTCCAAGGAACGCGTGGAGCGCGTTCTCTTTTCGCCTCGTATTTTTACTTCGGCGCGATCATCCATCATGCCGTACCTTTTCTGCTTTATTGCCGCAATAAAAACATCTTAATCCTACATATGCGGTGCAATTCAATTTAGAAATATTGAGAGAAGCACGAATAATTGTCTCTCGACGCAACGGAATAAGATTAACTAATAAATCAAACATGTTTCTTCTATTCGTAATATTGTAGAGATGTATGATCCCATCGGCGTACATATTATCTTAATCTCCGTTTTTCCTTTTGTTTTCAGTGGACAAGAGGGTGTTGGATCCTCAGGGCGCCGACAATCAGCAGGTTATCGAGAGGTGTTACCCGTTACCACCTCAGAATACCCTGATGCTGTCGGAGCTTCCGGAACCGCCGATTCCGTTAAGCGAAATCGGTCCTATACCACCCCCGCCCATGTTCAGCTCTCCGAGTCCTACTTTGCTAGCGAGACAACGGCAAATCCCGCTCTCGGACTGCGAGGATGAGGGTAAGTGTCCGTAATGAAGTATTATAATGCGACGAGAGAAGAGTAATTGGAGCAATTATAATCATACGAGAGAATCTCGCTTCGCCGCTTATTAGAATCTGCTCCACTAACACTATTCTAAGATAAATCAATGTTTTTAATATCGATACGTTTCCCTTTTCATCCTCATTTCAATTTTCTTACACAATATACCGCGGCACATTAAGTTATAAAATAATAGCCAGCTATTATGGTGGCTGAATATAGCCAGTGGCAATAAATGAAGCGCATATTGTTATAGAATTATTTAACATTGTTTATCTCATTATCGGCAATTTAATTTCATCGTTAATTATCGGTCTACGCTAATTGATGATCGCAATTCCATATTGCATTGATGTACTTGCCTCTGTAATGATGCATGCCCAATTATTGATCATCGATCGTTACGATTGTGTCACTGTACGTCCATAAATCAACCCCGTCGTAACTTGTCGCTTATAATTGTATAAATCGGAAAAAGCAATCAACGCGCGCGTGTTTGTTCATTACAATTAATAAATTAGAACATAATAAATCATTAAACTTGTCCACTTGAATTTTCTGAGCTTCGATAGATGATGAAACAATCATTTCACCTTTTGACGTAACGCGTGCAAATTCGAAATTGCTTCATTTTCTAAAAATCTCAAACATGAAACATCGTTTAAGTCCCTCTGCGATTTGACATCTTACGATAACGCCTGCTGTTTGCGATAGATGAGGAAGACATCGACGTGGAGGAGGAGGACGACATGTACGTCTTCAGGGTGTCGCAGCCGGATCCGGCGATCGACACGTCCCGTGTCGAGGAGATACCGGCGAAGGAGCCCAAGTTCCATGCCGTGCCGCTCAAGAGCGTCCTGAAGAAGCGGGGTTCCGGAAGCGGGCCTGGCACGCCGCAAAATACACCGACGCAGGAGAACAGGCCGCTGACGCTTCGCCAGGAGCTCCACGCCTCGTTCAAGTTAGTGTCTCTCCCCTCGCGCTAATATCGAGATCCGCTTTACAGTTGCTCGAGTATATCCATCGATGCGGAAATGTTCGGGAAGAGGAGCCAATTTAACTTATCAAAATGATTTCCGCTGCACGTTGGTTCGTCCAAGTGCTCGTTTATGCGAAGGAGAAAAGTTATACAAGACTTGTAATTCGAAATTAATCATGCATCGTACAAAATTCAAGATCAGCTCTTGGAAAGCGATGCAAAATTAAAGACTCAGCTTCGCGATCAAAGTATCACTTATGAAAAATTCTCTGCAAAATTGAGGAAAATTTGTAATTCGCGAGATACATTTTTTAAGACTCGATACTTTTTAAAGTGGATTTTAAAAGATTATGGACTCCAGTCTCGGTTCGAAGCATTCAGTTTTGAAAATGCATCGTTCTTTGCATTTATTGCAATTGTTAAAGAGGCTTCAAGAGCGAATCTCACTTTGAACGTTATACGGCAACTAGGATAATTAGAAGGCAAAGGCGCGGAATGAATGCAGAACACGAGTAGTTAGGGATTTTTCTCGAACACTTCGCATCGAAACTCGAAACTCGCCGTAAGAATCGGGCGCTCTTCGAGAGCCATCGCCGGGGCAAATTCGCCGAGATAATCCGCTTTCTACATCGGCTTTTCTTTAATTAGAAAATCGGCTTCGTTCTCGAAAGCCTTGTTTTCTCGCGTTGTTGTTTGATATCGAGAATACCTGCTTCTGCAAGCAGGCTTCGAGTACACCTCGCTCTCTCTCCCGTAGTATCATTGTTCTCGGCTGTAATGAAAAAAAGTGAAAAGTGGACGTCGAAGAGCCCTAATTTGTTTCGAACGTAGCCCTTTAATTTCCCGTCTCGCTGCTTGTAGTTTTTGCATCTAGCCTCCCCTGCTTGAACGAATACGCGATAATCTTTCGGACGACGTTAATCTTCATCCTTCTAGACCGAGACAAAATATCTTATCGGGCAAAAAACATTATTTATTACGTGTACAATCGTTCATGTAATTCTGTAGGGGATATTGGGTATGCTCGCCGTATTTATTTTATTCGCCGAAATTCAAAGTGCGAGACGGATTATTGAAGGGAAACGTACGGCCTCTCTCTCAGGCGAGTAATCATGGAATGTACTTCGTGCACCCATTCGCCATTAACATGTCAGTCACTAGTAAAGCATCGTATTTTTCTTATGCTTAACCAGAAGGCCACCGTTGAGGCCTAGGATGAGAATATGGTAATTGGGCATTGGTTTAACTAAGCATGTGCGAACCGATATTGTATATATTATATATACATATATATGTACATATATATACGTATTAAAGATATCTTGTCCTTTTTGACGTCTTTCACGGCGCGCGGTTGATCGCGAGAGAACCAAAATGTTCTAGTCTCCTTTTCTCTCGGTGACTCCCTGCGCGAGCGCCGCGAGCATGGCAATATTGGAACGTTTTAAGCATGAGAAAACCTTAGGGAAATCCATGAAAAATCTCTCAGCCTTACGCTTGTCTCGCCGCATACATTCGATCACGCACGACACACGCGCCGCGTGAGTCGAATATCGCGCGAGATGGGTCGAGCTCTTATTTTCCCTCTCGCGTGATCGATCGATCTCGCGGGTCATGCGATCCATCATTGGTCGACGGTATCGCACGTGCCGAGTTGTAAGTCGGATAATTACGACGAGCAAAAGAGAGCGACAAGGAACTCGTCATAATTATTTCACTCGTGTGAGTATATGCGTTCTTTCGATATATCTTGGTATACATTGGTTATATTATATCCCATATTTCGATATATTTCGTATATTTATTATTCAATATATATATGTCCCGTTAATTCTAATATATATATAAAGCATGTGTCCTTTTCTCTAAATATTAATAACTGTAATTATTATTGATGTGATGTATTTGACTTTTGACTATCGTGTTTTACCAGATGCAGGTTGCAGAAATTTTATATTAATTAAGTAATTTAATTTCTTATTCTCGATTGTAATTTATTTTCCATTGTTCTGCGATCTTCCTGCAGAGAAACAGAAGAGAATTTACAAACAAAATGTTATCCCGCATTTTTAATCATGACACGAATTGTGTGCAATTATTTTTCAAGATCATACTTATCTGCGGAAACTTTATCGAAATTTAAAAAGTTCTAGTACCATCGATATATATAATATTGAATTAGAATAATTTTATATAGATTTTCTAGATGAGAATCTTAAGCATTTAGTTATTACGAGAAACGACAGAGTATTGCCGGTTTTTGTTCGCATCACATTATTGCAGCTTTGGCGCTCGCCAGCTTCTTAACGTTATTGAAAACGCTTTGAAAATATTTGGCCCGAGGCAATTCGCTTCTGACGTCACGCACTGCGCTCTCAAAAGAAAAAATTAAAAAAAATATTTAGTATAAAAATGTTGAAACAAAAATGAAACATGATTATCCCGAAACCGTGGGGCATGCTTTGCGCTTAGATTTTATAACGTAATTTTTCACAAAATTTTCGCACTATTACTATAGTCTTTAGAAACGTGAAACTCAATCCAAAGACAATATTGAAACGACAATATTCTCGACAATTTACTGTTGTATAATATTATGAAAAGTTCTTACGATAACTTGCCACGAAAAGAGAAAATCTAAACTTTTTGTCAAGAACATTGCGCATACAGTCAAGAGTGGCACTCGTGCTAAATATTCGTAAAATGTTTACAATCTCTAAGTACTCGGAGACACTTTATTCTTGAAAGAAAATTCATCGCAAAATAACTTTTGAAGTTTAAATTTAAAAATTCTCCACGTAAGGCAGCAAAAACTCGAGAAATTGCAAACTTAAACACGTTGAATGCCAACTCGTCGTACTTATCTCCGTAATTATTATAATCGTCGGTTTTCGCTACATGTATTTAAAAATTCTTACAATTTTCTATTCATCTGCATCAATGTAGCTCGGAAAAGGCAAGCGACAAGTTGCAACAAAAAAGATTCATGTTCATAATTAGAAGGATATACATTTTTATAATTATCGCAATCATGGTGTCATTTTTCCTATTCTCGCTGTTCCCTAAATTTTCGCGATAAATTTTCTACCACGGAAATCTCATTGCGAATATATCGCGCAACACCAACGTAGATCACACGGAACAAGTAGTACAATCGCGAATAAAGTTCACGTACACGGCATTCAACGTGTCGAATGGATAGCTGGCAGACTTGGACGCAAATGCGCGCGCGTCAGTCTGTCGCTTCACATGGCGTTGTTCTCCACCCGACACATGTCACATACTATGCATCTCTACCTTCCCTTCCTCCGCCGGGGCATATCCCATCTTTCGCATCTCGTTCTCTTGTAGCACCGTAGAGTAGAACATTGGTTCACGTAGCGTCAACCAGCGGAAATCGCTATCCGAATGTATTAACAAATCTTGCATGTGCCGTTCCTCGTTCTTTCAGCAGTCGACCGGTCAGATTCGGCCTCGCTTTGCCCTGCACGTTGGAAAACAAGGAGAACGCGCGGCCATATGTCATCAGGGAAGATGTCGATGGCGATTCCGGCGATGGACAAGTCCTCTACAGGGATGATTATGATGACGAGAAAAGTAAGTCGTTCGATTTATTTTATTAAATTTCTAATTGATTTTAGAGATTATCGTCCTGTCATGTTTGCTTTTATTTCATTGTGCATATTAATAAAAAATGCAATCTAATACGTAGCTATTAATTAATATACATAATACACATGAGTACGAATAAAGTAATTTTAAATGAATTATTAACAAATTAAAAATAAAAGAACCAACTACGTTATATATATTTATATTTCTAAATTAATTAATCAATGGTTATATTAATTATATCAAATGGGCTACGTAAAGTACATAGAAAATGTATTTCAATTAAAAAACATAATGGGCGAACTATATTCATTGTGGCACAGTTTCTCGCAAAATAATAGAATGAATAACTTTGCAAAGCTCGATTTTTCCTCGATTGTCTTTGCAGCGCGTTTCTACCTCTCGTGGCTATCAATTAGGCAGATTATTTATTTAATTTAACTTTTGCAAATATTAATGCTGCGCACATTATGAAAACCTTGCAGTCATATACCAGCGAAAATCAATCCTTTTCCCATAGAAATAAATATGCCGCAACTTTTTCGAGAAACCACATTAAAATTCTGCAGCAGTCGGACGCTTAAATCACTCTTGCATACGCGCGTGTGCATCGCGATAAAAATGCAGCTATACGAAAGACCACACTAGAGGAGCTGTAGGGCTATGTTTATTTAGCGCCTTTGCCCTCGCAAATTTTCGTCGAAATATGAGGTTTCAAATTCTCGACTCGATTCGATGAATGGACTTCCGAACGAATTTATAAATAGTTCCGCGATAAAGTTCATGTCCTCCCTTTTTTGCGGGAAACGAGAGAAACGCGAAGGACCGTTCTATAAATCTCGAAAAATATAGCTTGGAAAAAAGCCGAGTCAGTCGCAGCTGCCAGCAGAACTTTACGGAATTCAGAAATAAAAAAAAGAAAAAAAAAGCTCGAAAAACTTGACGAATTTCAAACATTTGCAAAAATTGAGGAATTTCATAAGAAGGTGGGAATTTTGATGTGCCAGCGCTAGTAATCAAAATTTAAAGAACTTGAAATTCGTATTTTCGTATCTGGAACTGAATCTGACGTTCATGTCATAAGTATACCGATTGCAATAATTTTTTTTTTGTTAGATAAAGATAATTACCGAGCGTTTTAAAGGACTTGATTATCGAAGAGTTTAATAAATACTTTATTATATCAATTTCTTATTTACATTATTTGCAGATATATTGACATAATACTTTAATATATTTTAAAATAGAGAATTATCAACAACACAAAATACACAATACATTTGGATAATGCACATTTTATTCATATGGCAGGGGATTTATACAATTTATATGAATGATCTAATATAATAAGGAAATAATTTGTTGGATGAACGTTTTATCGCAGATTAAATGTCTCGCAGGAAAACGCAAATTGCCCAACATTTTAAATCAGCCTTCAGCGTCCGGACTAATTATATTCGTGCCGAGTCGTATGTGTATATATGTTAACGGACATTTGAGAGGTTTATATTAATCCCCGAAGATAGTTGGCAAGTTGCTCAGTGTGTTTCTAGTCGTTCTTTAAGCTGAATTTATCGCACGAGGCTTCTCGCTCGCTAAATTATTATCGAACCGCGTAGGGGTGGACGACTATAAAGTTATTCCCTTAAATCCAAGCTGATCCCTAAAATTCATATATCCGCTTTAAAATTCATTCTCGCGGGAAAGTACGCGATTGTGGAGGGAATTTCGGGAAATTTCCGAAACGCGTAGTGATTCCGCAATCCGGGTCAGTGCGAAAGCGAACGGTAATTAATATCACCGGATTCCCGGATTTCGATTACGCTTGGAACACGTTTCGGGCGCTTTTCGTACCTCGATTCGCATCGAGAAGGAGAAGGAGGGAGAGAGATAGAGTGATGACACGCGATGCTGTCGATATGGACCGCGTCGACGGTGTCGATCGTCTGCTCCTCGGTCGAGCCGATCGAACACGCCCCCCTGTTGTACCGCAGCTTCAGCTGCTCGTCGATCCTGGAGGGTAATTAGCGATCGTGACGTGCGATTGGACGCAAGATTAATTAACACCGATACGCAATTTAATAGACATCTATGCGGAATTTCCATTCCGACTCTAATATTTCAATTTACATCTGATTATCCTCGTTAAATGATGACCTTAAATGCATTTTATCATATTTACGATCCCTTATTTATCGATGTAATAATGGGAATTCAATGAATTAAGGACAAAAATATCGTCTATTTTGACAGGCCGTTTGGCAGCCAAGATTGCGCGCAAGGAATCGCTTTCGCTGAAACTCGCTCTTAGGCCAGATAGACAAGAACTCATCAATAGAAACATCCTTCAACTGCAGACGGACAATGAGAGGCAGGAAACGAAAGAAGCGATTGGTGCCAAGCTCATTAGGTGAGAAAAATGTTGTTTGCTCTACCCAAAATTCCCTCGCGAAATTTTCATTCTAATATAAGATAAAATCTTCGAAATCAACTCGTAATCGACATTAAAATGAGGGGCTTCGTTATCCTGTTGTTTTCTTATTTTATTATAGCTAAATATTTGTATTCGTCAAAGAAATTTAACGTATTTAAAATTATTTTTTGATAATAACGGAACGGAACTGTGCGCGTATTATTTCGGAAAAATCGATTTCTTTTTCTCTTTCACCGATACCCGTCCGTTACTGACTGATTAGGCTCGTTTGAAAACGAGCTTGAAATAACAGCTATCTTTCGAAAAGATTACGCGCGGATAATGGGACGAGTGGTCTCGGCTGTGGTGAATCACATTGTTTGTACAAAGTGAATGCCCTGCTTCCTCCCGTGAAGCTCCTCTCCTTTCCTCTCTCGAAAGAAGATTAAAGTGGCCGATGAACTTACATTGATTCACGTGCCATTCTCATTTCAGGCGGCTGAGCATGCGGCCAACTCAGGAAGAACTCGAGGAGAGGAATATTTTGAAAAGTAAGTTTACTTCAGTTTTCTCCCTCTCATCAATTACGAGCAACGTCCGCGCGAAGCTTTTGAGATCAATTAAAATGCCAAATTTGAAAATTGATTACTCCCTTAAAATTTGAGAATTATATACGTTTTAACTTGATATAACGGTTCACTTTCTTCTACGAAGAGTGAAATTAAATGTGTGTTTACTTCGTGAAGTCGAATGGGATTAAATGTCGAGTTGCAACATTTCTTTTTAGAGCAAAGTCCTGCCGAAGAAAAGAAGCAAAAAGAGGAAAAGAAGCGATATCTCCTGCGCAAACTGAGTTTCCGACCAACCGTCGAAGAACTCAAAGAGAAAAAGGTAATTAAGGGAAGAAAAAAGTTTCCTTTTAAATCTTTACGAATTTTATTGCACTATGTACATTCTTTAATATTTCACGATATGCAAACTGATTACATGTATGTATATATGTATCGATTGCAAAAGATATGGCTGAATTTAAATCCAATCGATATTTTATCGTATCTTATTTAAGGGTGCTATTTTCTGATAAGAGGTTAAAGGACTACGATAAAGCGCTATAAAAACGAAAAGCGATACAGCTTATCTTTCATTCTTCCTGCAGATTATTAGGTTCAACGACTATATCGAGGTAACGCAGGCTCACGATTACGATAGAAGAGCTGACAAGCCCTGGACGCGGTTAACTCCGAAGGATAAGGCTGCCATTAGGAAGGAATTGAACGAGTTCAAGAGTTCGGAGATGGCCGTTCACGAGGACAGCCGACACCTCACCAGGTACTTGACGTTTTACGAATTTCCAGCGAAGCTACTTTCAAAACGATAATTTACATCTCTCCCCTCGAGTCAGAATTTTATTAAAATGATTATCGCGTTGAATGTGTACAGCTTTGTACAAATTGGATCAAAGCATGTAAAAATCACCTTGTATTATTAAACTTTATAGATTCGGTAAAATTTGATGATTTAATACCAGCTCGTCGAACTTACCTAAAGATTAAACCATGAAAGCTTATTTAAAACTCAATATATAATCGATAATATATTATCGATTAGTGATTATACATAATTAATATTTCATAATTCGACTAATATGTTTTTAATTTTTTTAATATTACTCTTTTTGTTCTGCAGGTTCCATAGGCCATGACAATTGCAATGTGTTGAGGTGCTACAGTGTGGTGCGGGTATATGTGAAGGTGCAGTGTGGTGGCCTCGTATTGAGGCTGGATAAACAAACAGGTATCGTTGCTCTTCTTTCCGAATTTAACGGAAGTGCGAAGTGCGCGATACTCGTCCGATTGGTGACGATGATTTTTTTGACGTTGCTGCGTCGTGTCGCCATTCGTCGTTGTCGCCGTACATCATTCGCCGGCACTTCTTTCGTCATCGTCATTTACACACGTCAGCGGCGAGCGCCACCACGACGTCGACGAAGATTGTGATAGGGTGACCCGCCATCCCCACCGAAGAGGACCCGGCGGGTCGCTCGCCGATTTCTTTTCTTAAGGGTCGTTCACACTCGTGCTTAGCCGCGCAAACAGCTCTCTTCGGGTTTCCGATATTTCTATCTAATCCTTTTATATCTTTGGCGCCAACTCAAACGACGATGTCGTTATAGTATCGGGAGGCATCTCTTATTATATATTCTTAACATCTTTGAAATATTCTTGAAACTTTCCGCGGTAAATTCTGAAATAGGTATACTGCGCGTATATCTTCTTCCGTATTCATTGAAGCTTAAAAAATTAAAATTTATCTTCAGATCTATTCTCTTGAAAGCTTGCCGCTGTGAAAATCAAAATGCTGTACAGAATAAGTAAGACTTTTTTAGAAACGTTGAGTGTGTGTTCGCGTCCCGCTGAATAAAATCAGAAGTCATTTCTGATGATATATCGTGTCTCATTCATAATTAACGTTTCATGTTATGAATTTTATAAGTTGTTTTTTGTCTTTGTTATGTATAAATTTAAAAATCATGTAAAAATACAAGATTGCGTCTGTCATGAATATATATTTTAGCGATAAAAAAAAAATGATATTCCAGAACGAGTGTCACACGCACGTTGATGCGTGAAAATGTATAGATTAATCGCGCTTATAAGATTAAAATTAAGCGCGAGACTTTGGCAGAATTCCATAGATATTGCGAGTGCGCGTGTGTGAACATGACCCTTAAACGTGTCAAACACCATTTTGCAATCAAGCTAGCTCGTCAGTGTCACCTGGCATCATTGTAAATGTAAATCGTTTCAAGTTCGAGCCATCGTAACTTTTAGATATGTGATACATCTTGTTGATATCACTAAAAAAATACTCGAATCCTAAAAAAAAACGAATATTCAAGAAGAGGAGATACATCACATTATAAGGGATATCTCGTAACTAACATCGTCGTGAGTTGGATTTAGTTGAAAAAAAAAATGTTTTAGTATTAATATTTTTATACGTTGACGAATATATAAAAGGTAAAGAAAAAAAAGAATTTCCGCAAAATAATTTTTCGATATAACTCTCGTTTTTAATAATTAAGAATATATTCGGCTGACGCCCGAAAATGTGATTTACGATAATTCCATGTTTTCTCACGATTTTGGCGCGATTCGCGGGCAAAGTATTCATTGCTTATGACACACTAACACAACTTGGTGTATAGTTTGTTGAACTCTTCGTACGCGTCGCGTGAGAAATGAAAACAGCCATTCGGTGTCCACGACAATCGGTCGACTGCTCGATCGACACAATAACTGTTTTCCTTTACTGCCAGGTATCACTCTCTCGTGGAGCTGCCTTGAAGAGCAAGCGCTTACGGTTATCTAAAGAAAAAAAGTTAGATATACTCCGTTTGCGGGAAATCAGAGATGCATTGTGCAATGTAACTTTGTACAGGAGTATACATAGCGTGTACATTAGTGATTATTATTATTATCATCATTGTTACATTTCTCGATAATCTCGCAAGGACACGCTCTATGGTCCTCGTTAATTTCGATCGCGCGCGCGCGTGCGCCTTAATCGCAACAATGTTAATAAATTCTTTAAGAGCAAAAATACGCGCGTTAGTTGTTGTTCCGTATTCATCGAGTACAAATATAATACTTTCATAACGATTTAGAAAAAGATCATTAAACATATCTTCGAAAAATACATTATTGGCTTGTATTATTGGCTAGTAATAAAGCTAAAATATATTAAAATCGAATCTCTCTCTGTCATAGAAGTTTATTATTAATTTATACTCGCAGAACTCGGAACATCAACAATGATTAGTCCGCTCTTTGTAAAAGCAATTTGCTGAGTCAACAGTGAATCGTAGTCCTACATAGTACTGTCTATAATGCAGACGGAGAAGAAAAATTGAATTAGACAGAAAATTAGCATTAATTGACGTCGGTGATGACCGGCTTGTAGTATCTAAACTCGTTCAGCCCGTTGTTTTCATCAGAGGGTAAAACGAAGAAAAAACATTCGCGTTATACAAATCGCCATGTTACGCGCAAATTTGTATTTAGATTCGCAGCTGATCGAAAGAACGAAGCCAAACGACAGAGAAAAAAAAAAGAAAAGAAAAAAGATTAACAAGAAAAGACACGCGCCTCGATGTGCGCGATGTCTTGCACGCTTATCTTTGGAAGCTTCTTGCATCTCCTGCCCCGCTTATCTCCTTCCCCAGGTTTGTATAAAACTCTCTTGCTCACGTCATTATTGACAAAAAGTTCGTCATCGAATATCCCTCCTTATTTTGGAGAATGGCGAACGAAACAAGAGAGAAAAGATTGCGAGCTACGATCTTGCGCGACGTGCAAATTCACAACAGCGATGAATAAAAAAAAAATCGTGATCGAGATTCTACTTTCCTCTCCTCGTTTAGAGATCCTAGTTTTTAACGATCGTCCAATGGGGTGAGAGGATCGGTGTGTAATGTGTCGATCTTTCTCTTAACCCGTCGGTGAACTCAGCTGTTCGATATTAATTCGTCAACTTCGAGGTCGTCGAAGGTAAAAAGGACAAGACACCTCTACCTTCGGGAAATACCACGAAGAAGTACGTCATAAGGAATGTCATAAAATAATAAGCAGGGAGATTAAAGTGTCTCTCTCGTTCCATTGGTCGAGCGCTGTGGCTACCATGTAGTCGAACAAATATATCCATTTCCGGATTGTCTGGGCCGGTATGCATACCCGTGCATGAGTGTATGTGTGTGAGTAATGCACGATGAGAGATTACGAACAAATATTTTAGGAAGAGAGTGGTCGAAATTTGAGTGAAACATCTCTGCCAACAATCCTTTTTTTTCCTGCGACGTTCGAGAACGTATTTTTGTGCATGCGTCTATTGTATATATTATCTGCATTTCAATATAACCGATGCCACGTGAGTCATATATATAGTAGAGATTAAGTTAGAAGAATGGCGTTGTTTCAATGTTGAATTATTAAAAAATAAAAAGATATTTATTATCACGGCGAAGAGATTTTATTAAGCGCTTTTATTAAACTTTTTTGAGCGTGAATAAATAATAATTTTTGTGTTTTAAATTTAATTCCACAATTGAATTTTATTTAATAGGAATTTTAATTTAAAACTAAATACTGAAGATTTTTGACGTTGCATTGTTTAACAGTTGTTTATTAAATTTTGAGTTAGAAACAATAGTTTCTAGCGAGCTATGTCAGTAACATTTTATGCCTTGCATAATAGAGTTTTTCACTACTTGGCAAACATATCAAAAATTTCGTATCGATTGTCGATTTTTAATAAATGCAATTTTGGTGGCAAAAAAAAAGTTAAACAATTAGACAATATTTAACGTATTATTAAAATAGATCTTGTTTATCACGTGCGAATAGCTATTTTATAAATAAGGCTACGTTTTAATCTGTAGAGAGAGATCCGTTCTCGAGCGTATTCCGATATCCTCACATCTGTTTGAAGCGTCCACTCTCTGAGCATAAAACAAAGGCAAGAAAAAAAAGCAAAAGCACGCGAAACATATATAATAATGAATGATTTTATGTACATATTAATAATATATATAAATATATATACATAGAAAAAGGAGCCCATTCTGCTACACGCTACGCGATATAACGCAATGTATATGTGTGTATGTATATATATAATAAACGGTGAATATTTATATAAATACTTTTTAGATAACTACGCGCTCTAAATGCAAAACAATACACCATATACATATATAAATATTATACATATAAATATAAATAAATATGTATACGTATACATACATACATACATACATACATACATACATACATACACATATATGTATATGTATATGTATGTACATACATACATACACATATACATACATACATCATACATATATATTTATATATATATATATATTTATATATATATATATTTATATATATATATAAATATAATTATTTATATATATATATATATTTATATATATATATACATATATATATATACATATACATATGTATATATATATATATACATATATAACGTGTACAAGCAGTATGTGCATTTTCCAACACAGATAGATAGTTGGTATTTTGTGTACAAAACTGACAAAACAATTGTTGGACATTCTTTGGATAGCTGCGCATCAGGACGAAGATAAGGGGATGAAATGACGAAATGGAAGTCTCCGTTGTCGAATAATTACACGAGACGATCGACGATGCGGAACGGCACTGACGCGCGTCACGAACCATCGACCCCGTAGTTACTTCATGTATCATCGTCGTCTATCATCTGAATGTAATTATATTATCGTCCGTGCTTAGCGTACTCTCTTTCTCTCTCTTTCTAACTCTCTCTCGTTCGCATCCTACTCGACGACGCGCGTCCGAGCCGTTCCCCTTTTGTATCGCGCATTAGCAACGTTTATTCTGCAAGCGAATCCACACACAAGTATCAAGAGATCAATCGGAAGTTGAATTCTTTAAACGATACTTACAAATTTTCAAGTAACGCTCTTCAAATAATAATGTTTCATCTATATAAAAAAATATATGCATGTATAAATATAAGGCTCGCGTAATATTTCCCACGAGAAACGAAGCTACAAAGTTATTTCGCGATTTGCAGAATAGCGGAAGCCTTGCGCGATATCCGTAACAGTGTCGGGCTGTAAAAAAAAATGAGTAACGAGGAAGTGAGTTTATCGTAATTACCGAACACACACAGACGGGGGACAATTCTACTTGTATTATATTATCTAACGATAGAGCGAAGCATTGTAACAAGAAGGAATAATAGCAATTTAAGGGTGAATGTAAAAGGAAAAAAGTGCATGAATGAAGAGAGAAAGGAAATGTGTGTATGTGTATGTATCGAGAGCCGTGACGCGAACCGGTGGTTCTCCAACGGGGTTCTCGACGATACTAAGGAACCCCGGAGGTTCGCGATCACGAGAATAGGCTTAGGGCGCTTTCACGCGGGATACTCGTTGCGCGAATCCTCCGGATGTCGATTTGCTAAAGGATAAGATGCGAACATCGCGAACGGGAGGAATCGTCCGCGCGAGAAGGATAGATGAGTCGGCCCGAGTATCCGGCGCAAGGGCAAGCAGCCTAGAGATTTTTACCAAAATGACTCCACGCCATGATGACGGGGGTGAAAGCAGTTATATAATTAAATGTAATTTCGTTCTGTTTCACGAGCGAAAATCCCCTCTCCCTCTTTCCCACGATCTTTTGATAAGAAGCAGCGATTGTTGATAAGCAGCGACGTGGTGCGGGAAGCGATCATTCGTAAATATCATTTTGCTGTTCCGTGTAATCCTGAATCTTATCCTTCGTTTGTTCCGTCGATCGTACAATCATCAAGGTCGCGTTACCTGGGAGATACGACGGACAAAGTGTCAGAATGAAATAATCTCCCTACCTCTTTTATCGCGCGTTTCATCTGGACGCGAAGATGATCGTTAGGATGGATTATTGAGACGTTAGTTAGAACAAGTATTCTCTTTAAGGATAATACACGGAAGCGTCTGAATAATTATCTCGTGCTCAGCGATATAACTATTCTTCCCCCTCCCCCGTACAATTTAATTTATGCATGCATTGTTCTTAAGAAACGTTAATTCGCGCGCACATAAAGCGTGTTTCTCTTTCTATTCAATTTGTCCGTCGACATTTTCCTTTAACATTGTTCGATTCAGAACACTCGGACAGCGATAGATTACTGACGCGTTACACGGAACGTAATTTGAGAAAATTGTATTATATATCGAAACCGAAAGATCCTCTATATGTAAGAAAAATAATGTATATATGATTATATATATATAAAAATTACACACGATAAACTTGAATTAATTGCACTCTCGAAAGAGCAGCTGCACCTTGATCCAATAAAGAAATCGAGGCGCATCGGAAAGCGGATGAAGAAATGAAGAAATTTATACGCGCGGATACATATTAAAAAAAGCGACAATGTGAGACATTGAGAGAGAAAAAGCACATTTTGTTCTCGCATTCATTTTGGAAGAAACGCTGCGTTCTAATTCATTTTTGTTTCGTTGTTAGTTTGTACGCACTACGATTATCGCAATTTATTGTATTATCGACGAGATACTGTAACAAACAAAAAATACTGTTAACTATTCTTAAAAAAATTAAAACTTTTGTAAACTGAGATCATCCATGGAGTCGACCAAGAGTTTACTTACTTGACGCTTCCTTTTCAGACTTGAATCTGATCCTTTCAAAATAATCTGGTGTATTAAACTTACACACGCACGTAGAAAAGTAGTAAATTAAAGTAAGTGGTAAATTTTTGATCGATATTTTCAATTGTTAATGATATTTCTACTTGAATTAGGTAACTTTTTAATCAAGTTATAGGAAAGTTAATAATGAGGAATCTTATTCATTCGGAAAAAGGGATGGATTAAAAAATCTTTTAGAGTAAATAATGCTTAAATAGAATAAAAATCATGTTTCTATTATCTTTAATATATTTAATTTTATCACATTGTTATACCTGAGTAATATACTTAAAGAAATTATATTTTTTAAATTACTGAAATTCTATTTGAGATTCATTAACTAGATTATAAAATTCTCGCGTGACAAGTGCATCGTTCCAAACATTTAATTAGTATTTATATAAAAAATTATTCTGATGCAAATTTTATCAAAAATAACTTTGTTATGCGTGCATTATATACATATAGGGCGACACCTTCTTCAACAAGCGACACAAAGGATACAGTATAACGATGAATCATTTCATCCTTATTTACATTCGGCAAGCAACAAGGATAAAGTGTCTGTGTTACTTGTTGAATAACGCCCATATTCACATATGCGTTTTAAAGTGTAATACATATGAGAAAAATATTTTTTATAAGATGTATGTATATAATTAGAAAAAATGATATATATATATATATACATTATGAGATCATTAACTTGTGCGCGTAGCGTTAGAATCTTTTGGAAACGACTCAAAATTTGCAAATGCGTGATCCAAAGAATCCACTCTTCGTTGCTGTGTTTCTCGTCGATTCACTCCTAGAATCCGGAATGGCGATTCCTACACGTGAACAACGATGACAAGTAATTAAAAAAAAATCCTATATAAATTTATAGTCAATCAAAAATCAAATTTATTCTTGATTTAATCCCTGTCGAAATAAAATATACAACTTTTATGTTTCGAAATAATAATTTGAATATTAAATAATTTGAATAGCATTCTCTATCATATGAAGCAGAATTTTTAGAATTTTTTTTTATATTTTTAACGAGAGCAAACATGCTGTGTTAACGTTGAAAATTTTTTATATACGATAAATTATTCAAATATTGTTATTCTCTGCCTAATAACTAGGAAAAGCAATCTATGTTATTATTAATTACCTTTTTTAGCATGTAACTTTGAATATCGTAACCCATATAAAAAGCGATCCGCTGAAGGCTGAGGAGATTTCGGAGCCTTAGACGAGGCTCCGGTTGTAAGAGTCGTTTCAGAAGATCCCTCGCTGCTGGTGAAATATCCGCATTCGTTGGTAAGGTTCCCGGCACATTCGCGCAATTCAGATCATCTTGATCAAGTAAATACTCGGCTGACAAAGTGGACGGATACTGCAACAAAATTGTAACATTTGGCCTTCGATTGAAAGTCTATAATATTAATTTTTTCTCCAAAATACTATCATTATTGATTTTAAAAGAATTATTTTATCATTATTATCGATGCTATCTTAGTTATTTATAATATTATCATCTATATTTATATTATCATCTTTAACATCGTGCTACCTGTTTTAGTTGCTAGAAGCAACCCGTAATACAAATCAAACTTCACGATACGACCGTTTAATTTCCATTCGACGTACAAGTATGTTGAAATAATTAAATAACTATATATAATCTTCCTCCCCGAGGAGAAAAATTGCTACCGCGACGAGCACTACGAATCGAGACGAGATTTAATCATTGATTGGCAGGCGCGCACACATACATACACACCCGCGCTCCGAGGACCACGAGGTTTGCGGAAGGACTTCTTTTTTCTCCTTTGCCGCCGCAGGGAGGCGGGGGAACCATAAATAGCTCCTTTTACGAGAGAGAGGTAAGAGACTAGAGAAGCTATTACCAATGTGTGGATTCCGGCCTGTCTAGCTGCTTCGTACGACCGGCATACCACACAGGTACAGGCAGGGTCAACGGCCACTCACGACCCTCAACCTATCCTATCCGCTCGTTCACATGTCCCTCCACCGTGTGGTACGACCTCGCACGACCTCGCACATGCCGCCTCGCGCGAGCACGGATTTCTTCCCGCAGCTTTGTACTTGACGCGCGTCAAACGTGCAAACGGGATTCACGTGGAGGACATTTTCTTTGTCGTCGTCGAGTTGTTACCGCGACGCGGTGGCGAAACATGTGTCTGTTGTAGCAAAGGAATGGCTTTCGAACCATGTAACACGTGTTCACGTGTCTGCCCGCACGATTATTTGGAAGTACGTATCTCGTTTTACGCAATCCTCGCGGTCAAGTGATGGAGAGGACAGCTCGGACGCTTTTTTGTTTAAACCTGCCTCTTCGTTCATAAAATAATGGCTCAGATTATTCCGCGTGAATGTAGATTGTCCTCATTTGTATGCAAATTTCGAGCGCAAAAAGCGACTTTTGGAATGTGCTCGATGCCAACGACTTGGACATTCCAAGAGGATATGCTAAAGGAAGCCATGTCCTTCTTAATCAATAAGCAACGCGTAGCTTCGAGAATTAATAAATGCCTCTCGGTAAAGAATTATTCAGCGAGAGGCTCTACTGTTCGAATTTTATTCTCCGATCCGGTTCCTCGAAATATGCGCACACTAATCGCTAATTAATCTCCATATTACGTGCGGTTTTCATCGTTGTTTACGAATGAGAGGAGAGGAGACCCACCTGAGACTCGTCAGGTCGTTGGACCACGCGCGGATCCGATCACGCGGCGAACGGGATATTTCAATTCGATCTCGAGGGAACCTTGACCGAGAGAATAACGGGACGAAATGATCATTACGAGATCGTACACAGTAACGTGCGGCTTTTGACGCCGCCGTCTTTTCTGCATAGATCGGCCGAATCGTCCGCCTCGTCGGCGCCGCCGACCGAGGCAACCTTCATCGTCCACGATGCGAGGAGGTGAAGGAGCACTTTGAAGAGGCGACGTACGAGCGGGAGCAACGAACCAAAGCGCGACGAATTAAGACGCCCGTAATGTCTTAATTACTCTTTAATTATTGTACTTTTTTCTCTTGACGTGTTTGTATTATTCGATAGTCTACATTTTCAAGACTTTTGCATGATGTACGTGTGACGTGTCGACATATATTTGTAGACGCGCGCAAATGAGCGTTAACGAGCGGTTCGCGGTACACGTCCTTCAGGATTAAGATGTGCGGATTGTGTTACAGCGTTTTCACGCCAGTATGTTTTACCGAGACGTAATTTCGTAAAATTGTACTTCCTGCCACGTGCTGCTGACGACAAATTCTACGTGCAAAGCGAAATAAATCGCGGACAGATGGGATAACAATCGCGCAAAACAAGGAGATATTGTACTTTCTCGTACATGAACGCGGTAGAAATAAAAGTCGAGTCACTATATCAGCTCTCTATATTTAGAAAAAAAAGGACAGAATTAGCATTTATATTTTTCTCACTTTTTCTAGTCTAGATGATTTTATTCAATTCGATCGATCATAAATGCTAAGCTGATACAAGAAAAATTCGTGAAACTCGTTTATATCCATCGCTCCACTCATGTGCGAAATCAAAGAACAGATATATACGCGATAAGTCAATATATTTTTATACATATGTTATATGCTAAATGTAGCCATGACGGCTAATTGTTAAGCAAATTCAAACTTCTGTCCGACTCGATCGCGCCGCGAGTACGTTCATTAGCATCGCATATTCTATTTGCATATCTTCTGCATGATCGCACTTTCCACATACGCTTTTGTTTAAAAATAATATGTATTTAAAAAAAAAATTTAGTGAATGTACCGACTTCTGTTTTTATATGTTTGAAATACGATTCTTTCTTTTCGATATATTTTTATCGTCTTTTAAGATATAAGAATTGCCTAAGAGCGCTCTATAGTAGTATATTTTTATCGCGAAAAAGAAAATGTCGAACAAAAGTATCCATGGAGTTGAACTCGTGAGAACGATTATGTCTCACGGAAAGTGACCGTTGCGATTATTGCGGTAATTAAAGCACCACGGGAAAGGTCACGAAAAAAATAAGATGCAGATTTGCAAATCGAAAAGATTCTCTCCGTTAGGAAGTGTATACGCGTATTTTTCTTGTCGTGAGAAAAATCTTATCGCGTATATGTTACCTATAGGAACAAAAAATATCTTTTCGGGTCATCTTGTGTGCTAAGTAAATGCGTTATTATGCGAAAGATTGATGAGGTATTCGTGTGCGAGATACGATTGAAAAGAGTATTTTTTTCATGTATATTGTTTCTTATGATTTTTCTATCTTATTTTTTCGAATATTATTTCCTGCTTATTATTTACATTTTTTATTTATTCGATAATCACAATTGATTAATGTATCTAGACTAATTAAAATTTTAATTTATTTAAGACGCTAAATTTATTTAAGACGTTTGTATTATGAGATGAGTGTGGTCTGAAATTAATTCAATTTTAATCAAAACGGACAATAACCGATATAGTGACTTCCTCCATTTGCAGCGCGACGTAACATTAGCGTTCATGCATCAGAGATACGTCAAAGAGCGGATGTCACGAAATGAAGAGGAAGCCTCAAAATAGACTTATGCCATATATTTGTAATTATGCGGTAATCTCTCGCACACATGAGCGAGAATAATTAAGGACTTATTTACAAAAGTCAGAGAAGACAAGTCATTTTTTTTCTACATGATTCATTGAGTTTATTATATGATATTCTAGTATTAATATTTTATATATAGAGTGATAATTAGATTTGCTGCGATAATTAGATTTTCAGAAAAAGATTCTTAATGATAGAATTAGTCTTCGTACAATCTTTTATACTAAGATTATTTTAGATTTATCTTTTTCTAAATACATTCTTTAGAGTTACAAAATAAAACCACACATATGTTAATTTTTGAAATCGATGGATCATATAAAAATCATTAAAAAGATGTTATAATACGGGAAAATAAATGCTAATAAAGATGAAAGCATTATTTTTATTAATTACGAGATTTGCAAAAGAGAAAACCGCATAATTTATTTTTATAAAATAAAGAGCATCAGTTTCAAAGATAGATAGGGTCTTCAATGTCACATTCAGGAATCTCTGAGACAAACGACAACACAATTGTCCAGAGTTTATTCGAGTGAACAAAAGAGAAACATCTAATCGGATCGAGAGATTGCCCGATTAAAATCCGATCAAAACACAATATCGAGCATCCTAGAAGAGAGACGATCGATATTATGATGTACAGACTTGTTTCTTATCAAGGTGCATCGACCAGAAGGCCGGTTCTATCTCCCGGTACGTTCTATAACAGCGGCCCTCGAGCGAAAAGGTAAAATCTGCAAATAGAAGCCGGCAATTATGAATCTTCTTCAGCGGTATCGGCACGACGCGAGTACATCGGCGAGGCTTTGTGTTGGACTCTCCAAATATTTTACAACTTTAGCTCTCACGCTGTAATATATGCCCGTTGTTACATCGGAGACATTACGTAAATCCTCTTAGCTCGAAATTGGGCAAAACAAGAAATAAATCTTGTAAAATATACAGAGAGAAAATTTTATAGACATAACAAGAAAATAATAATTGTATAACACGATAAATTAAAAATAGCCTAAACATGGTCGATAAAGATTCGAGCAACATTTTCAAAGATGATGCAGAGTTAGAAAATATCGGTTCAAACACTTACACACGCATATATACTACAAATAAATTTCATATTATCAAGTTTTTAGGATCAACTCATCTTCTTCTTCTAACAGTACACGCAATTAGAGCGGCTCAATTACACGTTATATTCATCTCGTCGCAATCGGCGCCGATGTACAGTAGAGAAAAGAATCGCGTGGTGCACGCAAAATCGGAAGAGGAGCTAAAAGAAGACGACGAAGTGAAAAAGAAGCGTACTAGAGGGAAAGAAAGAGAGAGGTAGAAGGGAAAAAAAGCGGAATATGCGGGCTGGAATAAGGAAAAGAGGAGATTCTTGTGAGGAAAGAGGAAGAAAGACCGGTCTCGTAGTTAGCAGCAGACCATTAATTTCCCATTAACCGTCTGCCATTAGACGGAAAAGTCCCCGAAGGAAAGAGAATTCTGGAGAAGACCCACTGCGCGCTGGCGCCAGGAGTAATCGCCGGGACGTATTAAACGCCTCGTGCAAAATCCGCGTGCAAGCTCCCGGATGGCTATTTATAAAATCGCCTCGCGACAGCCGCGATAAAATCCCCGCGTAACGATGTTGAGGATAAGGAGGAATCGCGTCCTTCGACATAATCGGACAGTGGCAGCGACCCTCTTCTCTCTCTTTCGGAGAATTTAATTATCGGCACAATTTTTTCATAATTTTTCCAAAATTTATAATATCTTGTCTCTC